GGCAGCACTCAAACAAAGAGATATGCTTATGTAAGATGAAGAAACTATTGCAGATTTTTCTGGACAGCAAAATGAAAACAGAAATTAAAACTATCTAAATGATGTTATGCATGCAAACCACTAAGGACAAGTTAAAGTGGATTCCTAGGATGCATCTAGTACAAGTAAAGCATGCTAGCCATGCTCTGATACCAAGAATGATGTGAAACTACTAGGAGTTACGTTTAGAAATTAGAAAGATAGTTGATTAAAGCTTTGCTCATATAAATTTATTTCTAGCACGTAAAAGAGAATTATGAATTTGAAATATTCAACTTGCTTAGGCCAAAGACGTGCAATAGAGAATAACTAAAACAATTCTTTCAAAGTTCAAGGCAATATTAAATGCAAAGTTCACATAACATAATCCAACGTTTAACAATGAGAGGTTCACCTCAAGGGCCTTCTCACTCAACTACTTGTAGGCTTTTAGTGGAGAAAGATGAACCATACGAAGAAAATATTACCACTAGCAAGACGACGCCGAAGACCTTCGTTGGTGGAGAGGTAGCCGGTGGCCGACGATGATCCAATCGTAGTCTGAAAGTTGACCGTCGATGACGTGCGCAAGAGTGGGGAGAATTCGATCCAAGTAATCTCCAATGGTGTCGTCGTGGTCAAATCCCACGTCGAAGAACGGGGATCGTAGGATGTTGATGTCTCCGTAGGCGTCGAACACAAGTCCTCCTTCAAGTTCGGGATCCGCCATGCATTCTTGCCGTTGTTGAGAGAACTCCAATGAGAAGAGGGGAAATATGAGGTGGTGAGGGAGAGCACTTGTGGTTCGCGAGGAAGGAAGAGAGAGAGGAGGGGGGCGGCGGGAGGCAGGATTCCCAAGGAGAGAGGGAGAAGCCGACGGGTGCAAGGGATGATGGGCTAGGGTTTGGAGAAATTAGGTTTAGTGGAGTATTGAAGAGATTAATCAAAATCTGAAATTTAATTTCAGATTTGACTAGATTGGGAGGGAATTGATTTGAATTTTGAATTTCAAATCAAAGGCATTAATGCCTTGAATGGTGGAGTTAAGGAGGGGAGCCAAGAGGGGAGGCCGGCGGTTATGTAGAGAGGAGGAGTTTTGAAATAAATCCTGAA